TGCATGTGTATTAATAATGTATATGTATAATGTGTTCTCTTATTAACATTTAAATGTGTTACGGAAACGTAGGAGTAGACCAATCAGAAAGGAAGGGGGAGGGAGCTTGCGTTGTTTTTTTCAAATCAAGTACCTTTCTGTCTTTTCTGACAAACTGCAGACAATCACGTTAAGGGTATACAAAAATGGATTGAATTCGGTATATCTTTGTATAGATTGAGTATTGATTGATACATGTTTCACACAGTTTTTATACTGACTTTAGCAACGCCATGAGCCACAGCCAACAGCTCTACTTTTGGAAGTACATTCTCTAACATTAACTGTACATACATACTGACTCCATACTTTTGTTTGCATCGATTGCATCAATTTAGTAAAATACAATTATACAATTTATTCTTGCATAGGACTTGCATAGGACCATCAGAGGACTTAACAAAACCATTGAAATCACCAATGCGGCACGGTGGCTGAGTGGATAGCACTCTCGCCTCTCAGCAAGAAGGTCCTGGGTTCGAATCCCGGTCGGACCAGGGCCTTTCTGAGTGGAGTTTGCATGTTCTCCCCGTGTCTGCGTAGGTTTCCTCCGGTTTCCCCTACCACTAAAAATATGTATAATAGGTCTGGCATGCGCCTCCTATACTGGCGACCCCGCTCCCATCTCTGTGTGGAGTGAGAGACAAATGCCCAAAAAATAACAATTGTGAACCGCTTTGAGACTCTGGTCTGCAGTGAAAAGGCGGTATATAAATACTTACTTACTTACCAACACAGATCAGAGAATCAACAGTTAAAACACATAAAGAATATAGAACACATGTCCATACATGTTGTAGAATGTTAAAGTGTCTTGGATCATCACCACATCCTTTTTGTTGGACAGACCCTCCTGCATCGGCAAGGAAAAACTCACAAGAACCCTGTGGGAATAAAGTTAGAAACCTCAGGGAGATCCACAATTGACAAAGGGATCCGCTCCACACGGATGGATGGGCTATAGATCCAGGACCTAAGCTATTTAGTTTACAAAGTTGTTGATTCACCAACCACAGATCAGAAACTCAGGACATGCAATATCAACAAACACATTTATGAGCCATTGTTGCATATGGAGCGGAATGACCACTGTCCATAAATGTCCTTGAATGGATCCACACTGTCCGTAGCCCCTCCTATAAAGCGTTTATAACTGTAATATGTGAATAAATTGTAGTGTCATTTTCAACTGTAAAACTTGCCATAAAAACCCTCAAACGTGTCCATATAAATGTGGCTAATGAATCTGAGCCTGCATCTAAGGACAGTGGTGATGATCCAGGCCGTTCATCGACATTTATGACCTTCTATTAACATTTATGGACATTGGTCATGTGCCCGTTATGGACCAATGGCTCTATGTGTCTCTCAGAGTTGCATATCCTGAACTGTCTGATTCTCTGATCTGTGTTGGCAAATCGACAACCTCCTTCGAGATAACTACTGCTGTGATTTAGGAATTATCTTTCACCTATCTTTACATTCTGGCTTCACGCTGAGCTCTTATTTAATTCCAACAAGTCCATATCTCGGTTGCCTTGACGTCCCTGCTGCTGCTTTCACATCTCAAGTCTCTGTTTAATCCTGTTGAGAGGAAATGCCCGTTCGATTTGCCTCAGCGCGGTGACCCAGATCTTCAGACCGTGGTTACGTAACGCAGTCTGCACCATGTGACCCCCTCCTCTTCCTTATTCTGCTGTTACTGCAAACTCACAGTGACACAGGGAGAGAGTGGGGCATTCAGATACATGACTCTGCAGTGGAACCATGGCCTTATTCTGCACCTTTACCTTTGTTGATCCAGGAATAAAGTCGATGTGTTTAAGAAGCATTATTTTTAGGGTTGAAAAATTCCTGGGAATACTTAACAGTTGGAATTTTCACAGAAATTTAAGGGAATTAACAGAAATGTATGGGAATAAATAGGAATTAATTGAGAATTTTCAATATGAGAGGTAGGCTTTCATATGGAACTTAAATATTGAGTATATTTTAGACTCCTCTTGACTAAAGAAAACAAATTAACTTGAATATCTATGCTTTTCCTCAAGTACTGCTAAATTTTTGTCACAAATATGCAAAACAGAAATAGCTGATTACTAATAACACATTTGAAGCCATGTTGATATATTAAATGAATTGTGTTTCTTATCAAACAACCGTCTAGTCTCGTCTAAGATGTTCTTGAGTGGCATTATCGCTTTAACTTTGTTTTGGTCAAATGTATAAAAACTCCCTTATTCGACGGATTTAAATAACTAACCGATAAATCAAAAGAATAATAACCAACTTTCAAAATAATCATTAATTACAGCCATTTTGAGGAACGTTCTAAATATGTTAATGTTCTTTTGTCTATTTCAAGGTTACAGTTGTTTTCATACTATAATTGAATGTTGATTTATTTTATTTTATTCAAACCTGAGCCCGTTTGTGTCGGATAGAGCCCTAGAGCTGATTAAGGGGGTCCTCTTATTTTCACTTTTCTGTCCAAAAAAGTTGATCTAATGTGTGTCGGAGGACAAAAAATAAAAAACATGTGAAAACTAGTCATAGAGTTAGAAATAGTTTATTAACCATTTGCAGTATAACCACATTGGAAGAACTGCGCAAGAGTACCCCACAGCTACGTTACTTTATTGAGAGTGGGGATCTAGTTATATTTATTATTTTTTGTGGTTTAGAAATTATCTACCCCCAAAAAAACACAAATAAAGCTCAATATTGGCTGTACCCTTTGTTACTGATACCTCTACCTCAGCTCTAGCCTATCAAATGGCTCTAGTGCAGCGAATCAGACAAATCAGTGTTATTTTTTTGGAACTACAACAAAAAATCCAAGTCCAAACTCTTGAGAAACGACTGCTTTCCTCTCCTTCGCCGAGTGTGGGGCGCAGTGGTCTTAATTAGCAGCAGCAGATGAGTGCGTAGCCAAGCCGCGAGGGAAGGCTGGTTCATTTTAGGTTAGCCTGTCTACCTTTCGTGTTGTTTTGTGTGGCTCGCCTTGTACACAACATACAGCCAAACAAAAGCTTTTAATATTGCACCCGGTGTCGGTATCCTCCTCATTATAAGCCAGGGAAAGTATGGATCTGTTCTCACCTTAAAAGCCGAACGTCCACTTTCAGAAGCGGAGGAAGTTGCAGTGGTAGCTCTGAGTGTGCGGACAAGTTTTGTGATGAGAAAGAAGCAAAGTTGGGTTAGAGTTTGTTGCACCTTCGGAACAACAGAACATCTTAAAAGGGCGAAGATTAAAGCTAATTTCAAAACTGCATGCTTTAGCTTTTACTCTACAGCAACTATGGCCAATTAATGACAGTAAAGTTGTGCAGGGGAAATGCACACAAAATTACTTTTAATGAAACTGCAGGTGACTCGGCTAAAGATAATTGCAATGTTATTATTTTCATTACCTGTGCTCCTATGTTTTAGGAGTTGTTAATGGGAACTGGACTCTACCCTACATTAACCTATACTCTACAATACCCTACTCTACTCTACTTTACCCTACCCTACTCTACTCTACTCTACCCTACCCTACATTACCCTATACTCTTCGATATTCTAGTCTACCCTTTCCTACGCTATTCTGCCCTACCCCACTATACTCAACTCTACTCTACTCCATCCTACCATACTCTGCTTTACCCTACCCTACCCTACTCTACCCTACCTTAAACTCTACTCTATTCTACTTTATTCTACCCATGTATTGGTTGTGTTTCCACTGGCATTGTTTCACTTGTACCAGGTACTTTTTTTTAGTAGGTTCTAAACTGTTAATAAAGGACGGTAGATTAGGTGGTCTAACTGGTGCGGGGAGCCAGGGTTACCAAGGAATTTCCCCGGATACTGGTTTGTTGTGGGAAGGATGCAGTACCAGATACTAAAGTGTAATGGAAACATAGCCAGGTAGAGTAGAGCCGAGTAGAGTGGGGTTAGTAGAGCTGGTGAAAACACTGCTAACTAAAATGAGCGTGCAGTATCATTTACTTCAATTTTAGTTTTATAGGAAAATATTGAAAAATGAAAAAATATTGTGTGAGAGAAATCTTTGCATAATTTGTCTGCCCGCTTCCTGGTTGGATGGATTTAGCCATTACGAGCAGAGGGTAGAAGGTGAGGAGGTCAGGTGATTATTGCTGAGCTTCACTGGTCTGACTAAATCTGGCAAGTGGCATCATATATATATAAAAACATGTATAAATATATAATAAACAATATACAACATGTTTTTTCACATCCAATTGATCTCTGGACAACTCTTTTTTAATCATGTAATCTATTTTTTAAATAATTTTTCTAACTAATTTTGAGTTTTTATGTTTATTTTCTGTATTTATATATTCTTTATAATATATTCCTTTATTGTACACCTGTGCATATACATTCTTTAGAGTAGGACAAAAATGGCCGGTCTCTTTCTGAAGCTGAGGCTCTGCAGTTTTGGTACCTGGTGTTCCCAGAAGTCTCCCATCACATTACTAACCAGACCCTGCCCTTTTAAGCTTCAGCGATCCGACGGGATTGAAATAGCAGACTACAGACGGCTTCCTCAACACATTCGAGGGCTGGACAATCAAAACTTTGTCTGTTATTTCCTTATTTTTTATTTTTCTTTACTCTTTTTTTATGTGCGGTGATTATTTGTGAGATTGTTTCTGTCTCTGTATCTTGTTTTGTTCAGCACTTTGAGTTTCTTGTGTATGAATAGAATAGAACTTTGTTGTCATTTCAAATTGAGCAGATGTGTCTTTTTGTCTCTTTCTTGAATTGTGCTATACCAATAAACTTGCCTGTAACATTGTATTACACAGGTGTCATCATAAACAATTTAATCGACTCCTTTCCAGCTTGTATACTTTCATTTCAATACACTACAATGCAAAGATTCTGATCATTCTCAGACTTGAAAGTGCTCTAAACTCCTCTCTCTCTCTTTTTCCTGTTTCCTTCCACAGAACTCCATTCGGCACAACCTGTCCTTGAACAAGTGCTTCCTCAAAGTCCCCCGCTCGAAAGACGACCCCGGCAAAGTACGTATCCATTCACCGCCGCACCCAAAGTCTCGCTTTAGTCACAATAAATATGCAATCCTACTTCATCCTGCTTACAAATAAGACTCGATTAGCCGAACGCGGTGAGATGTGCCCTTATATGCCTCCGCAAAGCCTTAAAAGCTCTGCACGCCGCCGCCACGGTGAATCTCTAATGTGTTTCTCCCTCTGTGCTCTTCCCGTATTGATTGGGCGCCCAGTAATAATGCAGTACAGGAGTAATGAATAATAATAAGTGTATGTTGGTGCGTTTGTTGGAGATGCCAGAAGTTCATGCTTTATCAGACCGTGTCCTGCTCCAGTTCGAGGGAGGACGCCGTGATGAGTTTACAGCGCTGTCGACCGGAGGAAGGGAGAGGGATTGGGAGGGGAAGGAGGGGGAGGAAATGCATGGGAATATATGGTCTGTCAACGTTATAGAATATTTGGTTTTCTTTGTTTCCAAGCGAGAGCTCAACTATGACGGTTTTTAGTTTTGGAAGTGGTCTTCGTAACTTTGTGACCTTTTCTGTTTCTGTGTAGTTCATTCTTATGTCATTGTTTGTGAGATTATATCTTTGTTTTTTTTTGTTTTTTTTTAATATGAGCAGTTTTCAACCACTCATTCATTTCTCTGCCTCTCTTCCGTCACTGTTCCTTGTCTGTGACTTCCTGTTACTTACATGGCAATAAAAAGGATTATGATTCTTATTCTGATTTCAGTATGGAATTCAAAACCCTTGGCAACCAACATTCTATGGCAGTTAAAGTCTGTTTTCCACAAAGTCCTGGTCCTGGTCTTATTCTGGACTGGTCCTGAATTTTTTTTTGGATTGGTCCTGGATTGGTTTTAGACTGGTCTTGGATTAGTTCTGGACTTGCCCTGGATTGGTTTCTAGACTGGTTCTGGACTGGTCCTGGACTGGTCCTGGATTGGTTCTGAAATGGTCCTGGATTGGTCCTGGATTGGTCCTGGATTGGTCCTGGACTGGTTCTAGATTGGTTATGGACTGGTATTGGATTGTGTCTGGATTGGTCCTAAAATGGTTCTGGATTAGTTCTAGATTAGCCTGGCCTTAGCCATCAATGGAGCACCTCCAGACCTTAGTACAAAATGTAATTTGTACTATGGTGAGGTACGAACAGGCTGGTAAGTAAGTAATGTTTATTTATATAGCGCATTTCACAGACCAGGGTCACCCAAAGCGCTTTACAATGTTCAGAGTTCAGACATTGTTCCAATCATTCCACACAAGGTGATGACGGAAGCGAGTCATCAGGCTAGGCTAGTTCTAGATTGGTTCTGGACTTGTTTAGGATGTCCTGGATTGGTCCTGGATTGGTTCTGAATTGGTTCTGGATGAGTGAGAATGAGTTTTATAACCTTCCCCTGACCCACGTTTAATCAACAGTCTTTATTGCTGCAGAAATTACTGCTATATTTGATCACACTGAACACACCGGCAAAAGGCTAAAAAGTCATGAGGCGGGTTAAATGTGGAGTTGACACATCAGCCTGTGTCCCACTGGGGTTTGTGGTAGAGCTGCACAATATTGGAAATTAGAGCGATATTTGATAAGTTGTTTAGTATTTCGATTAAGAGATTATGGCGATATTTTTTTCAAGCATACAACAAAAATCAAGCATAACATTAATTACATTTAAATGCAGTATGGCACACAAATTAGCCTCAAATAATATAATCCCCTCACAGTGTTAACAAAGAGTGTGCACTTTTAGTGGTACACTCTAGTAGTTGAAGTAGTAGTAGTAGCAGTTGCAGTGATTTGGACCTGGTTTAGATCTGCATTAGTTGCTTTAGACCTGGGCTTTAGACCTGGTTTTGATGCGCTGTTGTTGTTGTAGTAGTAGTAATGGTTTAGACCTCCACACCATAGTACAAATTACATTTCGTACTAAGGTTTGGAGGCGCTCCATTGAGCTCCGTCAACAGGTGGGAGGGGTTAACTCCTTTTGTAGATTGAAACGAGTGGATCTGATAATTGAGCGGAGTGTACAGATGGCTAAGGTCAGGCTAGTTTAGACCTGGTTTACATCTGCATTAGTTCTGCATTAGACCTGGTTATTATCTGCTGTTGTGGTTGTAGCAGCAATTGTAGTAGCAGTAGTAGCAGTAGTAGTTGTAGTTGTAGCAGTAGTAGCAGCAGTAGTTGTAGTAGTAGTAGTTGTAGTAGCAGTAGTAGAAGTAGCAGTAGCAGTAGTAGCGGTTTAGACCTGGTTTACATCTGCATTAGACCTGGGTATAATCTGTTGTCGTTGTAGTGGTAGCAGCAGTAGCAGTAGTAGTAGTAGTAGTGGTAGCAGCAGTAGTAGTAGTAGTAGTAGCAGGAAGCACTCTAAAGTTACCTGGATAAAATCTTGGTTTGGAACACTATCACTTAACATTACAAACTCTCCAACATCAGCCTTCACCCTTAATTTACCAAACAAGCCTCTTGTGCTGCTAACAAACTTCTCTTCAAACTCACTCTGCTCTCATTCAGCGAAGGAGAGAGAGAAACAGAGACAGAGAGAGAGAGAGTGAGAGAAAGAGGCAACCACGGGATTTGGAAGCCATTGAAAAATGAATTAAGAGGGAAGGAGCTTTAAATAATTCAAACCTAAAATCCTTGGGCTCGGCGTATGGGTCTATAGTCTGCAGCAAAGACACAAAGAGGCACGCTCCCCTCTGATTAGCCCTGCCGACCTGCGCTGCACCTTAATTCAGACCTGGATCGAATCAGTCAATATCTCCGTATGAGGGAGGAGAGGGGAGGAGGGGGAGAGGGGGGTCAGGTGAGCGCGCCGGCTAGAACACACGCCTCAGTGGAAAAGCAGAGAGAGGAGAGAAGCTAAATCATGCATGTGCTAACGCTAATTGGCTGCGTACTGCTCAGCGAGGTGGGACCCAGAGACTAGAGGGTGTGTGTGGCCTAGATCAGAACCTGAACCAAAACCAGTCCAGAGCGCGGAAGGGAGAGGGGGAGGAGGGAGGAGGAGAGAAGCATCTAAAAGCAATTGATTTTGGTATTGTATGTGCTCCAGCAGAGTGTTGGAGTTTGAAAAGGGAGTGCCAATTTAAGGGCAGAGCAAGAAACAGCAGGAGAAATATGGAGAGTTTGACGGGGATTATTTTTGTGTCGGCTGCAACTGAGTAAAACACAACTTTATAATTAGAGTATTATGATTATTTATGTTTTGAATGCCTTTCCATCAAAATTTCTCCTACGGGAATCATAACAGTATCTTTCTTTCTATCATGTTTTTTTAATCACTTTAAGTTGCCTTTTTCATGCACTTGTCTATACAAATAAACTCACCTACTGTAAATCAGGGTGTAGAAAAGTACGGCTGAATCGAAAGACTTTTTTGCTTTAAAATAAATCAATATTGTGATTTCAAAAAGACGAACAGCCATGGATACTGTAGAGCACAGGGACACAAAGCGGCCCTCAAAGGGACGATGTGGCTCCAGGTTTTAATTTTAACCAAACAGGACCACACCAGACTCAAAAAATCCTTAAGATCGCAATTAATCAATGAATCATTTAAAATGATCACTCAAATGGAAGTGACCTGTTGAACTGTTTTTGCAGTTTATCGATTACGCACATATTCACCGGTTTTGGCACTCAAACAATTATGTACTTTTTATAAAACTAGTGGAAAACTGAAGCCTTTGGATATTTTCAGAATTTCATATATTTGATTGGGAGAAGTGTAAAACAAAAACAATATTGTATCTAAAAATGTATATTTATCATATTATCACCACACACCATCCCACACTTGCACTCTCACTCACTCACAACTCACACACACACACACACACACACACACACACACACACACATACACGTTTTTGTTACCTGGTGGGTCCCTTTGACAGGGCCGTTCAGAATGGGACCCATAGACATAATCTTTTTTTACCAAGACTTTAAGTAATACAAAACAGTCAATAGAAACCAAACAACTATTTTAAAGGAATTTTATTTTAGATTTTGTTTTCGAATTGCAGTGATTCTATTTTTGACATAGAATTTAATGCCACTCCATGTCCGATGTCTAAGGTCATCTGGTGAGGCATTAATGCAGGCCAGGCAGTGAGACTTCCCAGGGGACCTTTCCAGTCTGTATGAAAGGTGTCATGGTCTTCTCCACAGCCTTCACCTCAGATGCAGACCATGGCTTTCTTACACGTTCTAGGGAGAGAAATAAAAATATATTAGCAATATACACTCCCAGGGTGAGGACCAAGCAGCCTGGCTGTAATCCCCCACCTGGTACACTTACCAGAAGGGGCACTGCCACTACCATGGGGTGCATCTGGATGAATGGTTGAAGGTTCTCCGCTTGAAGTTTAGTTTCACCACTAGGTGGGAGTGCAGTATCTGTCAGATCACACGCCGATGTGGTTCAACAATAACGCGCATCATGCAGGAGCAGGAGTACAGAATAGGACCAGCCACCACAGCAATGTGTTATTATCGGTGGCAAGGAGGGGGCGGGGGTGTGTGGGAGCGCAGTGCTTGTTAAACCACCACACAGATGTGTTACTGTAAACTAGCAGTAGTGAGTGAGCAGGAACAAAGCATAGAATGCGTATCACCAGCGACATGCAGCAGAAGGAGAGCAGGGTTTACAGCATTAACCTTGGCTAATGCAGTAATGGAGCTTAACAATTATGTTTAAGAGGAGAAGCAGAAACAGAGCATTAGCTCTTGCCATGTATAGCAGTAATGTGTTCTAATAGCAGCATGCGCTAGAAGTAGCAGAGTTACAGTGCGAAACCCGGTCAACGCAGCAATGTAGCCCAACAATTATGCTTAAGAGGAGAAGCAGAAGCAGAGTGTTAGCTGTTGTTACGTATAGCAGTAATGTGTTCTAATAAAAACAATACGACATGCAGAAGGGGGCGGAATTAAAATGATTCGTTTCAGTGTAGTACAATCCAACATAGAGTGGTTATTAGTTTGAGCAATCAAAACAGCATGGAACAACAGCTAGACCGTGTTAATGTTACCACCATGGGCAGCAGTGTGGTCCAGGCGTGGCATGCAGAAGAAGGGGCAGGATTAAAATTATTAGTTTTAGTTCAGTGCAAGGAGGGGCGGAATTAGCGCATTAGTTTAGTACAATCAAACATCAAGTTTGGCAAAGTAGAGATTTTAGTTGGAACAGAAACAGCAAGGGACAACAGCCAAAACAGTGTTAATGTTACAACCACAGCCAATCACTTGATCATGAGACGTAGTGCAGGGTAAAAGTCAAGACAGCAGCAATGTGGTCCCGGAAGTAGTGCCGGGACCGGAAAGCAATTTTGTGTTTAGACAATAAGAGGTGCGGCCCGTTTAGCAGTATGCCGAGACGGCTGGCGCCTTATGATCGTCAGAACACAGAATCAGAGTGGGATAGGATAGTACGAAGTATAGTAAGTAGTGTTATTGTTAGACAGCAGGTAGACAGTGCAGCAGAATGGTATTAGCAGTGGGGATGCGGCTCTGGCTTTTAGCGCGCCAGGGCCGGAAGTTAGCCGTATGCTAAAACAAAGGAGCGTAGCTAGCATTTAGCTTGCCGGCAACGGTACATTGTAGCAGCAGTTTAGGCAATAAACAATGAGTTTTGGTGACCGAACGCAGTTCGGTTAAACAGAGTGGCACTAGTTTTAACGGTAGAGAAGCAGCGTATAGTGGGAGCAGTAGTAGGAGCAACGGCGTTGTCAGAGTTAGCTTTGAGGCTAGCGGGGCCCGGGCGGAAGTTTAGCCGTATGCTAAAAACAAAGGAGCGTAGCTAGCATTTAGCTTGCCGGCAACGGTACATTGTAGCAGCAGTTTATACACGAAAGTCTGGAGCGAGTTATACAGTTCGCACAAGCACGTAATCACAGTGGTGGAATGGGGTTTGTATGTATGTACTGTAGGGTGCTGGTGTGTGTATACAACAGCAGGTTAGCAGGCAGAGAGAGTGGTGAGACAGAGTTAGCGTTAGCCGCCTTTAGCAAAACGATAGCATCACATTCAAACAGCTGCCATTTACAGCCTTTTACACAGATATACTCGGTTAAAATCCTGTGTGACCTGGGTCACCAAGGGACACAGTAGATCCGTACACCCGTGTTCTGGACACGGTGTACAGTGGAGTTATAAGAATAAGGTTTTGCGCTTTCTCTTCAGAGGGAAGCGACTTCACAGACTCACGCTGCCCGCTGGCCAAGCGGGGCAAAACGTTGGAGAGAATGCGTAGTACCTGTGCCAAAGCCAGGGTTTTGAGACTAAATTAATAGTCTGGTGCATGCACGAGACGCTTTTATCGCAAGCGTGGGGCGTAGGGGAGCTCGATTGCCGTTGAAGTCACTATAGCAACGGGGGTAGCAGGGACAGAGGGGGTGCGGGAGTGGGGGGAAGCGCTTTGAGCGGAGCAGCAGTCTAAGTTAGCGTATATTAACCGGTCAATTCACAGAGTACGAGTCGATAAATCTGGTCTATATTCGCGGATCTCACAAACAGGGTACCAATACTGTAGGGTAATAATTATATATATGTAGTGTAATAATACTACAGATTATGTTATGAGAAGAATAGTGCGGCTAGTCTTCAAATCAGAGTCTGGCCGTCCTATTCGAGTGGGGGATCTGCTTTATATTTATTTAGGCACCAGCAGTGTATGACACACTGCACAGATCCAAACCAACTTTGCCTCGAGTCAGTCTTATAAATCTAATAGGTAGTGAGTACTTTTATCGGCCAGTGATATTCCGAGATCTAACAACGCGACTCTAAAGGGGTTGAGTTAAAGAAAAGTAGTTTATTGATTACAAAAATGAGGGTAAAAATATAACGAAAAGGGATTTCTGGTCACATTAAAAGCAGGAGTTGTACACATATCATTCAAATCATACATTTAACAAAGGAACAGTCTTACTTTGAAGGAGCGTAGAGGGAAGTGGGTGACTGGGATGAGGATGGAGTGGAGGATGAGAATGAAGAATAGGGTGGAGGCGATGTCGTCCACGTGGTTTCTTTGTCCGGGCAGGCGGGAATTATGAAGCCAGCGACGGCAGTCCAACTTTGGATCCAGGCGTGCACACTCAGTCCGGAATGAGTCACGTGCGCAGAGTCCAGAGCCAGGGCCGGCTGGTGATGAAGAGTTCATAAATCCCAACCAGAGGAGAGTATGTTTGGCGGAGTAGAAGGCCCGATGCGTGCTGGCGCGACCGTAGTAGGAGACACGTGCCGCGGGACGCCGATGGCCAGGGAGGTTGGAATAGTGATTTCAGGAGAAGGCAAGAGAAAGAACAATGGCGTGTGGGTGCTCATATAGACTTCCCAGGGGGCGTGTCCATGCCGCCCCTGCCCTCTGTGGACAGACCCCTTTTACAACATACAGTTTGTAAAGGAAACACACAGGATTGATGCTAATAATCATAAGACATGTACAAACACACACCGTATTTCATTACTTTGACATTGATACACACATATGGGGCACAATGCAGATTATTGGAGTACTGGACCCAGGGGTACCGGTTCGCAATTGTCCGTCCCGGGTGTGATAGTGTCCATTGTTCACAAGGGGGCGTCAGAGCGCCGCGGGGGAGTCTTTGATTGTCCGGTGGCAGGAGTCTGTGAGCGAGGGCAGGGTTGTGATCTTTGATCTCTACAGGCAGGCAGAGACAGAGGTGCTTATCCCCGTGATGACTTTATTGCTCTTTTTGGCATCTGTAATCCTCATGATTGATGGCGGCTTGTGGCTGACCCCATGGCTCCTTTGAAGCTGTATCTCTCCATTTGGTCAATGGTAAACAGAGTGGACAGGCTTGGCCCTGTCCTAAGTTTAACCTTACATACCCAAATGGAAATGCTTATTGTGTGGACATCTTGTGTCTGATTTTGTGTTATGATGCCTCATTTGAAAGGTAACACCTTGTAGTTTCTGAAAATGTATGTTACAGTTTGTTAGGAAGGACACAGTCTGCACTACAGCTTCTCAAACATGAGTCAAAGTTAGTTTTTTTTGTCTCGAAAAAAAAAAGGCAATTTCAAAAGGTTCTCCTGAAGACATACTTTATGGTATGATGTTCAAACTCACCAGAGCAGATGTTTGTGGTGTTGGAAACACCTGTATGAAATTTTAGACCTTTAGGTGGAACTATTTTGATGCTGGGGGCTTTTTTGTAACTAATGGGCACATTCGGCACAAGTGGTCCATTTTTGTGCCAACTGTGCCAAAGTGTTTTACATGCAAATTATCAATGTTTTTACACCAAAAATCCATTTATATAATTTTTTGACTATTACTCTTGCTATAAATAGCGTTTTTCCAGATATTGAAATGTTTGCAGAAAAGCTATTATTTATATAGTTATAGCGCGTGTTCTCCGTGAAAAAGGCTCCGTCTTCCTCTTTACGCATTCAAATATGACGGGAACAGTGGGAGGAACCTTGAAGTCCGACACATCGCCTGAAACCTGAGATTATTGGCTACAAGATGATTTGATTGACATCCAAATCGGCCAATGGTAGTCAAGACAATGCTGTCGTGACGCACAGATATCTATATGACTGGAGCGCTAAAGCTAGGGGCGCTTGTTTTACTCAACTTACTCTACCTTCCAAACCATAGCACTGAAAAGTCCGGGAATGGGCTTGTTTTGAAGGGAAGACTGAGAGGAAGACGAACATACCCAGTGATTCTGGGTAAAAAAAACAATGGCGTCTTCAGACAGTGCGCAAAGACGCGGTTTTATTTTTGTTCGGGCAACTTTCAAAACTCAAATGTGTCGTTACAAGTGGATATCTACTATAAGGATGACTTTGAAGAAAAAACAACTGGATATAATTATTCTCTAGACCCTCCCGGACAAAATGAATGCACACATGTGTGGATTAGACGTGATTTGGCCCAGAATATTAGCATGAAAAGGTAAGAAAGGACAATATATATTTTTTATATGTATACAGTTTGACTACAAATACTTACTTTTGTTGATATTTAATGTTTATTTGAACATAATATGCATTTAGAGGTGGGAATAAGCTTTCAAAAGAGGTATAGCTTGACTATATTGACACAAGTTAAGTTATAATACTGATGCAGTTAAATGAAAAATATCTGAATCCTCCCTGTACAGGGAGGGTGATCCTTAAGGGGCAGTTAGAATGTGCTCAAATAAAGACACATTTTGCCAAAGTTGAGTCCATCATGGATGAAGTATTGTATTTTAAGTGTTTGATGAAAAACAGAACGGTAACAATTGAAAATTACGGATAATCCATTGATATTTAGGGTCATTGGTCATTTGTCCCTTATGGACCCATGGCTCTATGTGTTTTTTAGTTGCTGCATTCTCTGTGTTTGCAAATCAAGAACTTTGTAAAGTCCTCCGAAACGACTGCTGTATACAAAAACACAGTCAATTAAATGTTACGTGCGCAACAATGACATTGATATTTCCTCACTGTGTGGGGGTCATAGCAACCAGAGAATTCATACCTTTCACCTTTCTTCACCCAGCCCCAGCGTATCTGTTCTGTTCCACTCTGGAGGCTGTTCCTCAACGCTTGCATTTTCACTCCCCTGAAAACACTGTCTTTGTGTAAACGAAAAAACCAATTCAGTACCCAGCTCTAATGTTTTACTGTCGCAGCGTCCACTGGTAAACAGCACCTAAGACCAAAGAGCCCTCTGACAGCTACTTTTTAAATCTATCCCCAATATGAGAGGCCTTGCCTATACAGCAACACCTCCTGTAGTTACAGAAGTGTCTGATTGATAAGGCCTTGTTGATTCCCTCAGAGTCGTCAGGAGGCGACACCTGCAGCCTGAGCCATTGTCTGAGAGCGTGGGCCGATACCATGCGGCTGCTGCTCCTGATTCATTGCTTTGAAATGTATAGCGTCGTCGAACAGCATCAGAGAAGTGTTTACAGCAGAGTTTGTCCAATGCTTCGCTGCACAGAGCTCTGCATGTCCATGTACAGCAGTCATATGTTCAAAAATGGGGGATGGGATTTTTGCTTATCTTAAGAAACCTACCTAAATGTTTAAGAAGAAGACGGTCCTTTATACGACCCACAATGGGGAAATTTCAGTTTGATACATACACACATACAGTACACATCAAGGCAAGCAGCAAACATCACTTCCGCACTCCTTATAGGCAAAGTGGGTTAAGTGTCTTGCCCAAGGACATAACGACAGCAGACATCAGTGGGAGTCGGTGGAGATGATCTCGTGGTGGCTCGACCTTCGGGCTCAAAGGCCAATGCTCTACCAACTGAGTCACTGTCGCCCCTTAAGCTGAAAATGTGCATGTGTATGTGTACATGTGTGCGTGTGTATTTATACATACACACATACAGTATATATCATGATTATTATATATATCAATATATCAATATACTGAGAGTAGCTCAGTTGGTAGAGCACTGGCCTTTAGGCCTGAAGGTCGTGGGTTCGAGCCCACCATAAGACCTACTTAACGACTCCCACTGATAACTGCTGTCGTTGTGTCCTTGGGCAAGGCACTTAACCCCACTTTGCCTGAAGCCCCCGCCAAAAGATCTCAGCTCCTGTGGACTCACCACCTGCAGGAGGATCAGTGAGGGGCTGGTGCTCTGTGAACTGGGTGCAGCTCTGACTGACACCGCCTGGCCCAGAAATGGATTAAGGGGAAGAAAATGGATGGATGGATGTATATATCAATATACAGTGTCTTGCGAAAGTATTCGGCCCCCTTGAACCTTTCAACATTTCGCCACATTTCAGGCTTCAAACATAAAGACATACAAATTCAATTTTTTGTCAAGAATCAACAACAAGTGGGACACAATCGTGAAGTGGAACAAAATTCATTGGATAATTTAAACTTTTTTAACAAATAAAAAACTGAAAAGTGGGGCGTGCAATATTATTCGGCCCCCTTGCGCTAATACTTTGTAGCGCCACCTTTTGCTGCAATTACAGCTGCAAGTCGCTTGGGGTATGTCTCTATCAGTTTTGCACATCGAGAGACTGGAATTCTTGCCCATTCTTCCTTGCAAAACAGCTCGAGCTCAGTGAGGTTGGATGGAGAGCGTTTGTGAACAGCAGTCTTCAGCTCTTTCCACAGATTCTCGATTGGATTCAGGTCTGGACTTTGACTTGGCCATTCTAACACCTGGATACGTCTATTTGTGAACCATTCCATTGTAGATTTGGCTTTATGTTTTGGATCATTGTCCTGTTGGAAGATAAATCTCCGTCCCAGTCTCAGGTCTTTTGCAGACTCCAACAGGTTTTCTTCCAGAATGGTCCTGTATTTGGCTCCATCCATCTTACCATCAATTTTAGCCATCTTCCCTGTCCCTGCTGAAGAAAAGCAGGCCCAAACCATGATGCTGCCACCACCATGTTTGATAGTGGGGATGGTGTGTTCAGGGTGATGAGCTGTGTTGCTTTTACGCCAAACATATCGTTTTGCATTGTGGCCAAAAAGTTCGATTTTGGTTTCATCTGACCAGAGCACCTTCTTCCACATGTTTGGTGTGTCTCCCAGGTGACTTGTGGCAAACTTTAAACGAGACTTTTTATGGATATCTTTGAGAAATGGCTTTCTTCTTGCCACTCTTCCATAAAGGCCAGATTTGTGCAGTGCACGACTGATTGTTGTCCTATGGACAGACTCTCCCACCTCAGCTGTAGTTATCTGCAGTTCATCCAGAGTGATCATGGGCCTCTTGGCTTCATCTCTGATCAGTCTTCTCCTTGTTTGAGATGAAAGTTTGGAGGGACGGCCGGGTCTTGGTAGACTTGCAGTGGTCTGATACTCCTTCCATCCATCCATCCATTTTCTACCCTTTAATCCATTTCTGGGTCAGGGGGGTGGCAATCAGAGATGCCACCCAAGTCTCATAGCACCAGCCCCTCACTGACCCTCTGCAGGTGGTGAGTCCACAGGAGGACGGCTGCTGTCTGAGTGTGAGCATAGCCTTGATCTTTCAGTGGGAGCTTTGGGCAAAGTGGGGTTAAGTGTCTTGCCCAAGGACACAACGACAGCAGTCATCAGTGGGAGTCGGTGGAGAAGGTGCAGAGGTGGGAAATGAACCCACGACCTTCTGGCCTTAAGGCCAATGCTCTACCAACTGAGCTACTGTCGCCCCTTGATATTGATACTCCTTCCATTTCAATATAATTGCCTGCACAGTGCTCCTTGAGATGTTTAAAGCTTGGGAAATCTTTTTGTATCCAAATCCGGCTTTAAACTTCTCCACAACAGTATCTCGGACCTGCCTGGTGTGTTCCTTTGTCTTCATGGTTCTCTCTGCGCTTTAAACAGAACCCTGAGACTATCAAAGAGCAGGTGCATTTATACGGAGACTTGATTACACACAGGTGCATTCTATTTATCATCATCAGTCATTTAGGACAACATTGGATCATTCAAAGATCCTCACTGAACTTCTGGACTGAGTTTGCTGCACTGAAAGTAAAGGGGCCGAATAATATTGCACGCCCCACTTTTCAGTTTTTTATTTGTTAAAAAAGTTTAAATTATCCAATACATTTTGTTCCACTTCACGATTGTGTCCCACTTGTTGTTGATTCATGACTAAAAATACAATTTTTATATCTTTATGTTTGAAGCCTGAAATGTGGCGAAATGTTGAAAGGTTCAAGGGGGCCGAATACTTTCGCAAGGAACTGTATATATATATATATATATATATATATATATATTGTGAGATCAATAACGTTTATCTTGTCTAATCTTATCTGAAACATCAAATAATTCATTCAAGAAACCAACCACACATAGCATTTATTCTATTATTCTACCTTGAACACAGAACTGAATTTGAATTGCATTTATTCACAGTTAAAAAGTAACTTTCATTCATTTTCAAAACTTCAAAAAGTACCGGTCTGTTCCAGTCTGTGGAGACATTGGTTTATTGTTCTGATCATATGTGTTATTTTGTGAGATGTATTTGTCTTATTCTGGGGTTATTCAGAGGTATAAAACCGTTCTGTCCATGATGTCAGAGTCTAAGGTTTGGATGGTGATTAAAAAAAGGCCATTGGTGAGGAAACAATGCTGTGACCTGGTTAAGAAATCCTTTCCTTCACTAAGATATTAATGCATTTATCTAAACAGTGCAGCTTCGAGCAGATAGTACAGAGTCATTTCAGGGAATTTTTGGGAGTTAAAAGGAAAAGTGCAGTAAGTGTTACCTACAGTCAGAGAGAGAGAGGTCACAGATCACAGGTTTAACACCGACGTGATGTCCTGGGACTCTCTGACATTTGAACCATGGCCCACCCATAATCTGGGGCTGAAAAGGGTTTTTATCACTTCAAAAAACTGCTTCAGGAAGGCAAAGAAAGTTTATATGTATAGCGGAGCTCATACACAAGGCTTTCCTTGAAAGAATGTATGTATGGATTTTTTGGATGAAGGACCTATTCCAAACCTCCACTTTGTCGATTACAAGTACATTATGGCTCCTACCACGTTACCGCTTTCTTTCTTTCCTACATTTTAAGCTTTAAAGCTGCCTGGGGGTCACAACGTATCTCTTATAAGTTTTTTACATTCTGTTGCAGAGAGTGTGAGTTTTCCCTGTGATTCCTACCTTGTTGGTGACATTGTTGATGCCCAGTGTGGGAGACGCTCCTCCGGACATGATGCAGTCCATCCTCAGCGACTCGGACTCCAGACTGTATGGAGTGGACGCCTGCAACAAGACTCAGACTCAGTTTATAATGTACGCCTGACATACAGTAGGCGCGTACGAGGCAGAGACTGTATATTACCAAAGTATTTGAACATAAGGTAGCTAGAGCATTATCCTTTATATGGGCATCCGAAAAGGCTAGCTTCACGCCGTCCATGGGCTTATGTAAACTAACATGATGCTAAAACTGTTGCTAAGGCAAGCTGGAGTTTTCCTCGTGAATGATTGGTCAGCGCTCGTGTGCACCAGTTCAGTCTCCTATTGTTGAACCCATAGGAAATCCAGAAGAGCGCCCACTAACCAAATGATTGTGCTGTTTCTCTATATCTACCTCAGGACTGATGGTGTTAAAAGAGGCCATATTTAGAAGCATTGCTACCATCACTCTCCTCCATTAACGTAAAAAAAAAAACACCCAACACACCTCGCTGTGTTAAGTGAGAAAAAGTACAAATAAAGTATTTGTAATGTTAGTAGTGTTGTAGTATTCATATTTCAATTCTAACAACGTATTTGGAGTTGTAAACATGACTGATACAAGCACAGGGTGACAGACAAAAATAGGAGGCAAATTCAAAGTGACAAAGGTTAACGGGAGCTCATGCCTGCTGCTTGACTGAGCTTCTGAATCACCAGAGAATCTCCCCAGGCTCTAGGAGCAGACCACCAACTTAAAATAAAAGTGAATAAGTGGACATTCACATGAGAAACCCAGGAGGTAATGCTTTTATAACAACATTTAGAAATGGTACTCTTTCTTTATACACGACTAAGGTACTCAATAGGTCTGTTTGGTTAGTCTGTGCTTATTTTTGTTGGCTCCCCGTCCCAAAACAAACACAATATAAGGTCCTCCCCATCACCTACAAGTCCAAACAGAACCTGGTCCCCCCCATATCTCACTGCCTTCTGTCTGAAAACCCCAAGGACCGAGCCTTCTGAACCCTGAGGACCGAGCCTTCTGAATCCTGAGGACCGAGCCTTCTGAACCCTCAGGACCGAGCCTTCTGAACCCTGAGGACCAAGCCTTCTGAACCCTGAGTACCGGGTCTTCTGAACCCTGAGGACCGAGCCTTCTGAACCCTGAGGACCGAGCCTTCTAAACCCTGAGTACCGGGTCTTCTGAACCCTGAGGACCGAGCCTTCTAAACCCTGAGGACCGGGTCTTCTGAACCCTGAGGACCGAGCCTTCTAAACTAGGGATGCACCGATCCGATACTGGTATCGATATCGGCGCCGATACCAGAAAAAATACTGGATCGGATATCTGCGTAGAGAGAGGCGCCGTGCTGCCGATCCATTTTCTTTTTTTTCTTTTTTTTAAATTATATATATTTTTTAATACATACCAGGTACCGCACAATGTCTTAAAATACATTGTGCATAATGTACATATACGTATAAAATGAATGAATTAAAAGTAATTTATCAGATCTCACGTACACGTCACTTCCTCGTGGCGCTCTACAACAACAACAACACAGCATGGAGCGCAGGAAAGAATCAGTGTTGTTCACGCGGCGGTAAACTAGCGAAATACAACACTACTAAGCACCACGAGAAACAGCATGGGGAGTTTTTGCATCGAAAGGAGATTACGTGAAAACAACGAGACACAGTGACACTGACGCAGCGTCACAAAAAGCTTTTCAGCAACAACCCGAAAGTGTTGGAGTTCATCAGTTTGGGCTCGCAGCCCCATAGACCATTTGGAACCCAGGTACATGCCGTCGCCAAATACATATCTGAAATCCAGTTAAAGCTACGGTACTATTATTTATTTACATTTTCATGCTGCGTGTTTTGTTTGTTGTAAGTATTTTTTTATTCAAACACAGTTAATATAAGTACATTTATATTCAATAAATGTATAAGGTATAATACAGTGTTGGAATGTTTAATGTGAACATTGAGCATTGCACATTTATGTTGAATCCATTTTTATCTGGAAAGTTTAGCGCTTTAGTTCATCCACTGCTTTTGCAGTTGTTTAAACAGAGAGTTTAATTATTAAATACATTTTAGCATGATCATTTCCGGTATCGGTCAATATCGGTATTGGCAGATACCCATAGCTCTGGTATCGGTATCGGTATCGGTAGTAAAAAAGCTGGATCGGTGCATCTCTATTCTAAACCCTGAGGACCGAGTCTTCTGAACCCCGAGGACCGGGTCTTCTGAACCCTGAGGACCGAGCCTTCTGAACCCTGAGGACCGAGCCTTCTGAACCCTGAGGACCGAGTCTTCTGAACCCCGAGGACCGGGTCTTCTGAACCCTGAGGACCGAGCCTTCTGAACCCTGAGGACCGAACCTTCTGAACCCTGAGGACCGAGTCTTCTGAACCCTGAGGAGCACAGAGCCTCATGATGGTGCCCAGAGTCAAGACTAAACATGAGCGTTTCAAATTTAGGCGGCTAAATTATTTCTTTTTGAAAATGTGAGACTTCTCGTCATGGTGTGGATTTTGTTATTTTGTAGTTTGGTTTTATTTTGTAATCAGTTCTCTGTGCTTTGGTTTTAGCTTGACTTCCTGTCCTGTTTTCCCCTGTCTTGATTGTCTGCCCCGCCCTGTTGGTTTCACCTGTGTCTCTCTGTGTCTATATGTACCTGTGTTTCTCTCCCCTTGTTTCTGGTCCATTGTCTTGTTCATGTCTTTGTCTGTTCCGTGTTCCTTGTGGTTTTGGATTTCGAGTTTGTTTTCACCTGCACTTTTGTTTTTTCATCATTCAATTATTATTATTTTGGCATTCCTGCATCTTGAGTCCTTCATTCACCACTCCTCGTGACACTTCTACTCTGACCAAGTTGAAAATCGAGGTTAAAAAAAACTTTCTTTAGCTGTGCATACAACTGAAGGACTGTATAATCACTCTTTTTATTGTACTGTGATTATTTATGATTTGTGTGATTGTTTCAATCTTGTCTTGTTAAGCACTTTGAGTTTCTTTGTGTATGAACTGAGCCATACAAATAAACTTGCCGTGCCTTGCCTTAAAAGCTCTGATTTTGAACAATAAGTCTCCTAACCCTAACCTTCATGTTTTTCACTTTGAAATAGTTGAAAATTGTGACAAGCCGTTTTCTTTTTTTTAATCATTCTGTCAGCCCTCGAACACGTGTGTCTTTAGTTTCCTCACACATAAGGAATATTCCGGGCCGAATAAGAGTCTAAAGTTGACGCTTTCTCTTCAGTCCTTTCAGAGTTCACGACAGCCGCCTGCCTCCTCAAGACTGCTTACCGTAAGAGGATTGGTGGGTAACAATACAATCTGTAATTTATGATAAACTGGAAAGAAAAAACGGATGTTGGTTTGTGAAGGGGTATAGTGGAAGGAGACAGCACTGGAGGTGAGCGAGAACCATAGAGGGTGATTGGCAAAAGCAGTAGTTTGGAACAATTGGGATACTGAGTCTAAAATGTAATTAATCATGGAGCTTGAGCAATTAATGTCTGTGCCTCGGAGAAAATTAGAGATAGAAAAAAGTGTAGAGAAGCCTCTGGTGCAGGGTCTGTCACCAGCTTTGCTTTAAAAAGGTCTGTCATGTGGTGAAAACAAAAAGCAAAATGCAGGAACGCAAAATAATAGGATTTGATGATGGATAAATAAAAGTCAAAGATAAAAACTATAAGCTATAAAATTCAAAACGAAATACAGCAGCTAGGAAAACGGACGGATGTAGACAGTGGACCAGAGAGACGATGTGAGACGAATAGAGAAAAAGAGAGACACCAAGAGACAAAGAGGGACGCACAGAGACAAAGAGAGACACAGAGAGACAAAGAGTGACACAGAGAGACACACACAGAGAGGCACTCATAAGGGCGGGAAAGATAATCAAACAAGGGAACATTGTCTCATTGGAAAATCTTTTTTTAAGACTGGACTCACTTGAAGAACTGGGTAAACTCTTGGGCTCTCCTGCTTGGTTGGAATGATTCTGAAAACCTGTAGTAACACCCTTTCCACTGAAGGCCATTGAACTAAACTGTTCAATTGTCAAGTCAAACTGATTAAGTTACAGTCTCTACTCAGTGCTGTTTGATCCACAGAGCATTTGGATCAAGAGAAACCACCTCTGTAGACTCCGCGGGACACTGTGCAAAGCAGTGAGCCAAGAGCCAAACCTGGAAATATTTCCCACATACAAAGCAATTCTGCAAATATATTCACAACTAAATTATCTTTAATTTTTTAGCTTTTAAGGGGAATACTAGAGAGGATTCTCTGTAGTCTCTGACCATCGCTAATCTATTTTAAAAATACTTTTCATCTAATATCACCCCATGAGCTTGTTCAATTCACTTAACTGTTGTATAGCCCAAAATCCCACAGTAGTTACCTCAGGGGATTTTACGCAGCTGTCGATTCGCCAACACAGATCAGAGAATCAAACAGTTCAAACACAGGAAATTTAATGATTAAAAACATATAAAGCCATTGGTCCATCAGAGCAGATGAACAATGTTCTTAGACCCTCCTGCATCTGCAAGGAAACACTAAAAACAGAAAAGAGAGAAACGTCGGGGAGACCCACATTAAGTGAGGGATCTGCTCCCATAGACGGGCGGGCAGTGGATTGAGGACTCAGGCTGTAGAACAAGGACCGAGGCCACGTGTTGCAGCTAGTTTGGCCCTATTATGAGCACCTCAGTTGTGGATCAATGAATTCAATTGATATCGGTTGCCTCGCTTCTGTCAGTCTGCCCTAGGAATAGTAGTAGTTTATCACAACCATGTATGGAGTGAATTAATAATGACATGTGAAGCGTCTTTAAGTGCTCAAAAAAATTCACTGCAAAAATTTATATAATAAATAGAAAATAAAGAAAGTGGTTTTTATCTTAATCTGAGTACATTCTGACGGTCTTAAAACAAAATTTGCCAATGGGACAAAGCCATTTACGCTTATTTCAAGAACTGTTGCTTTATTTTACCATTCCATCAGAGACAAGACCAAGCTTGTTTTAAGGCAGTATAAAATGTCCTCAAATTAAGATACTTTTTGCCAAGGAATTTTTGACTTATTTTGTATCACTTTTTGCAGCGTTATTATTATTATTATTCAAGGGAGTACACCCAGACCTCTCTTTCACTACTTCATAAATTGCATTGACTTGGTCCAAACGTGACTTATTTAAGCCTAAACAACACCCTCCAACACTGTTTTATCCTTATTTCCTCCCTTTCACGTCTCTCCACCGTTTGTGGCTGTATCACCGTCTCTCGGGAGCCCACAGAATGTGCACGTCGGCTGCGAGGTACAGTGAAAGGTAAATGAGAGAGGAATGTGAAGGATTCAAAAAGACATCAAGGTAAACGTCCATTTGCAGAAGAGTGAGAGAGCGAGAGAGAGGAGCGATAGAAGCGTGTGTTCTGCTTAATTACCACCGCACGGCCCCAAGCTACAGTTAGACATATTTTCTTCACCAGCGACCATTTTTTTTTCCTTTTCAAAATTGTAAACATTAATTAATTCCGAGGCTTGTCATCTCGTTTTACATGGATGGACCCCCCTGACCCCTTCTCTCACGCTTCACTGGAGGCGCTGGCAGACAAACTGCAGGCTGTCACAGAGGGCCAAGCGAAGGCAACGCAAAAGGCCAAGGCACACACTTAGGGAAAATGTATGTTTGAGATGCACTGGTTTTAATTGGTTTGTTTTAAGATACATTATAGCACTGCGTTCAAAGTTATATAGTGTGGAGATTATACTACCCTCAAGCAAAGCAGCTCAGCGCAGGAATCAAACCCGAGGTCTACTGAAGCATTTTAGCAGCTAACACATGGCTAGCATCTTATCACATTTTTCTATATGAGCTGTAGCTAAATGCTATAATTCTAAGCTACTACTGAAAATTTCCATTAGTTTTTCAAGAATAAGTTGCATTCACTTATTTCATGCTAAAGTTAGAGATTTTATACTTACTTAATTATAATGCTAGAGTTAGATTTTATTTCATTTTAGTATAGATTTATTGTACATGTATCCTGTGCTGTGTGCTCCTCATTCCTACTGTTTTGTAACCGGTGATGCAACACTGACATTTCCCCACTGTGGGACAAATAAAGAATCTCTTGTGTCCCACTACAGTGTGTAGTGGGAGCTTACTTGAGTGTAGTACTCAAGCAGCTGCGAGTTTAATGGAGAAAGCACTGAGTCTGCGTCTGTATACAGCTGCAGTTTGTCCAAAACACTGCAGAGTCCTGACTAGAACCAGGAAGTACTTTCACATTAGTCCAGGTCCCAGGTCTCTGCTTCCTGTGGTTTAGAGAATAGACTTTAAAGCAGCTCTGTATGTGTACAAACAAGTCTCTTCATGGTCTCGCACCAAAGTACATCTATGACATGTTGGTGCCATATGAACCGACTCTGACTCTGAGGAGCACAGGGACAGGCCTCCTACTGGTGCCCAGAGTCAGGATGAGACAAGACGAGGCAGCATTTCAGATTCATGCAGCTAACCTTTATGCAACCCCAAATGTGTTCTCAGATTATTTGGTAGTGATTAGATTCAACCCACCATATTATTCTTATGTTGTGGCACCACCTGCATGTGTGAGCCAGATTCAGTTACACCTCTGAAGCTGTGCGGGGCAGGGCCTGGGTAGTGTTGGGATGGGAGACCTCTGGGAACACCAGGTGCCACAGTGGGGAGGCTGCGTAATGTGATAATCTACTGTATGTTTTACTGGTCAACATAATGCATATGTTTTGAATAATGTCCCAACTTATAGACACCTTTATGAGAAAATATTAAGAGCATAGTGGATATATACTGACAGAGGAGACAGATGGATAGATTTTGCTTTTTGTGGATTGGCCCAGGAATTAGAGAAATAACATGTGAACTTTTAAGCAAATAGAAGGCAACACGCCCAAAAATGGTGCAACCTTTGTTTTTGTTTTCAGTTTATCACCATGGCTTTTTAAATAAGTCCCTAAATACACTCACGTCATGTAGCATGTTCTCACAAGAGGCACGGAGCACTACACAGACATTTCTAAGTTATTTCACTTACAGAGATTACAGTAACTAAAGTAGGTTTTTATACCACAGTTAAAGCTGAGTTATAACGGTTTTGCATTTTGCCATTTTGAGTTTTAGTTGGATCGAGTTGAAGCAGCCAAACCTTGCGTCTCACTTTGAGGTTAATAAGCTACATATATTTATAGAAGCCACCGCTGTCAGTCAGTTTACTCAAATCTACCTCTCGTCTGCTCCCCCTGCTGCTATTGAGGTAGAGGGAAAATTACCCAGAATGCACCCTGCTGCCTGTTTGATTAAATGTGTAATGTATCAAGGAATATACATATACAGTGTTTATACTGTAAAGAAGCCGTAGACTGGGAGCTATGTGTCACCCTCATATGCATGTGTTGTATGTTTAGCGGTTAGCCTCTTAAGAAAAACAACTTCAAGAATCAGATGTAAAACACAGTAAGTGTTTTTAATCTGATAGGGAACGTGAGCTGGGATTGGACCGTCGTGAGACAGGTTCGTTTTACCCTACTGATGATGTGTTGTTGCAATAGTAATTCTACATGGGAAGAGAATAATGTGCAGCCTCTTTACCGCCAAAAGCCAGTCCGACAAAAAGCAAGTTTTAACACTGGGACTCCAAAAAGTATGAATGGGAGCAGTCATTTTGACTGCTTCCATTCAAAACAAAGGAATTCTGAAAAGTTTGCTAGTGAGAATACCATCAGTTTGTTCAATGTTATCTTTATTCACTTTAAATAAGTAATTGCTGAACGTAACTTGAAATACAGAAAAAAACAGGCTAACAGGTAGCAAGTTAACAGTGTGTTGCTATGGTTACTAGAGTTTGCTCTTCTCCACTTTGCCACTCCATTAAAAACTAGAAACTTGCAATGGCTGAAGCCATTGCGATTGACTGCGGAACAGATCTAATGTGGAAATCTGCTAAAAAAAATCCTTGAAATCCTTTAAAAGGCCTTGAAACTGTTAAAATACTTGATAGATATTTGAAACTCCTGAAGTCCTTGAAATTGTTGAAACCTTTAAACTCCTGAAATCCTTGAAACTGTTGAAACATTGAAACTCCTGAAATCCTTGAAACTTTGTTAAACCTGGAAACTGTTGAAAGTGTGGAAACTCCTGAAATCCTTGAACCTCCTGATATCCTTGAAACTGGTTAAATTCTTAAACAGTTGAAATCCTTGAAACTACTGAATGTATTGAAAGTGTCCTTGAAACTGAAAAATCCCCTCACCGC